TAGTTCATTGTTATGTTTGGCCAATTAATTTTGAGAAACCTTTGGGTTGCATAGATGCCTGACGGCATTGTTGAAAGGTACCATAGATTCCAAAACACTAGAGTCTGTTTTTGATATTGGTGGACCGTATACTGTGTCACTCGCGGAAGTTTGGGAAACTATACAGAAGAACGCATTGATTAATTTTCTGCATTGTGATCGAGACACTTAAGTTTCGGTCAGTACACTTAGAACAAACGATACTGCTTTTCTTTTCTGTCATCATACTGCAGCACTTTTCTAATTACTCACGGAAACATTAAGTTCAGATTGTGGAGTTTATAAGAGTAATTTCAGTTGTTAGATTTTCACTACGAACCAACGTCAGTTAAAGAGAGCACAGCACAACTGTTTCGTCCAGCTCCGGGACTTCTCATCAGGGCGAACCCACCATTACAGACGGAACCTGTTTCCGAGGGTGATTGGGAAAAGAGTATATGGGGAGGAAATGGAAGATTGTGGGCAGTCACGAAGCCGGCTTAAAAAGACAGCGAATTCAACCATTAGAAGTAAAATTTTAATACATTAAAAAGATATAAAGTGCATGTGTGGTTCATCACTTAGTTTAATCAGTGTGCCTGGTCACAGTTCTATCAATATCTCCAGCATATTAACTGAAGATGAAAACTTACTAAAGACTCTGTGTAACAAAATAAATGACCTGAAAATCCTTTGCTCACCAATGTACTTACAATACTGATAATAATATGGATATTTAACCTTGTCTAGTTAACTAGCTTGCTAGTTTTCTAGCCAGTCCCAAGCTCGGGTAAGGAGGGAGGGTTGGGCGTGGAGTCGGCAACCCTACGCCACTAAACCTATCAAACCGTTAAAGAAACTTCAACGCACAGAAAATATAACAAAAATACAAAAATTCAAATAACAATCTTATTCTTCGCTCGAATTGGAGAGGCGATATGATACAGCGACCTGGTGAAAGCCTTCGGGAAGCCAGTCAGCCAATGTGTCTTCTCTCTCTCGATGAAAGCAAAAATAAGAATGGGGACGTGGAATGTCTGTACAAAGTACGAAGCCGGCTGACCAAGTAGCCAAAGAAACGCGAAGATATGGCATAGAAGTGCTGGGTGTCTGCGAGAGCAGATGGAATGGATGTGGACTGTAAAATTTGTCAACTGGAGAGTCAGTAATCTACTCCGGTCACTCAGACGACAGCCAGGAGCACACTGGGGCAGTGGCAGCTAAAGCCCTAATGCAGGGGGACCAGTGTCATGCAGTATCATGACAGCAAGATTCAACTCAAAAGGAAGGCAGCGAGGCTACAATTATTCAATGCTACAAACAACGCAGAACAAGAAAAGGAGGATTTTTACAGACAAATACAAACAGTAATGGACAACATCCGAAATGGTGACATTAAAATCCTCATGGGCGATGTGAATGCCAAACTGGGAGCAGATAATACAAGAAGAGAACTCATCATGGGTTCAGAGGCTCTCGCTCGGAGAAATGAATGAGAACGGAGAATTTCTCGCAGACTTCTGAGCTTTCACTGATCTGATGATCGGAGGCAGTGTGTACAAACACAAAGATATAAAGATAAAATTCCTGAAAACACCTGAAGACAAAGCACAATTCAAGTTCAATATTCAGAAACTGAAGAAAAAACCACAAGGGATGCCTTCACTACAGATCAGATCACAGCAAAGTCGGACACACTACGTGGCATCACTGAGGAAACCTGTGTAGAAGAACATTGGAACACTCTGAAGGCGATATTCAAGGAAAAGTGTACAAGTGTTCTGGAAGAGACAAGACAAGAAATGGCTGCCGACGAATGCCTGGAAGCTAATCGAGGAGAAGAGGATGGTGAAAGAGTAGATGACTCAATGCAAAGATGGGCAACAGAACGTGAAGCTGAGTTTAATCTACACTGAACTGAATAGAGAAGGGAAGAAGAGTGCTAGAAAAGATAAACGACAATTCTACGACACACTAGCAACTGAAGCAGAACAGACAGGCCGCAGGTAAAAGAGACCTCAGGATATTATGTCAGATAACCAGGTCTATCCGGGAAGAGATCAACCCAGATGATGAAACCAGTAAGAGATGCTCAAGGGAACCTGATCACCAAGGAGGAGGAACAGGTCAAACCGTCAGCTGATCACTTTAAAGGACTTTTGAATCGACCACCACCGGCAACTCACCCAGAAATACCACCAACAGCACACACGGAAATGTCAGTGGACACCGCCCCCTCAACGGAATCAGAAATCCTAAATGCAATCAAGCTAATGAAGTCCTGGAAGGCAGCAGGACAAGACAGAATACCCCTCCACTCGAAGCAGTGAAAATGGACACAGAGACTGCGGCAGATGTGCTGCCGCCATTATTGCAAAAGGTTTGGAAAGAAGAAAAGGTATCTACTGATTGGAAAAAAGGCAGTCTATCTTGTCAAGCTGCAAAAGAAGGGCGACTCAAGTCTCCGCAAGAACTGGCGTGGAATAATGCTCTTGTCCAAGCCAAGTAAAATACTAAGTCGCTTCATCCTAGAGAGAATAAAAGATGCACTGGATATAGAACTCTGCCCACTGAAACGAGCTGGATTCAGAAAAGGCAAATCCTTTGCTGATCAAATCGCAACTCTACGCATTGTCATCACAGAACAAAGCATAATTTGGAAACTACTTCAATACTATGGCATACAGTGTTCAAGTCTTTATCAACCTCATTCAACAACTATATGATAATGTCATGTGTCAGGTGATCCACAACGGGAAACTCAGTGAGGCTTTCTAAGTGCATAGAGGAATAAGACAAGGCAGCCTGCCTATTATCACCGATAATATTCTTAATTGTGGTGAACTGGATTATGCGTCAGACTGTGAGGAGCAAGGGGTCAGGAATACGCTGGACGACCGATAAGAAGGCTCTAGAAGATATGAATTTCGCAGATGATATATGTCTCATATCACATAAACAAACTCGAAGACTTACAGGCGAAAACCAACAACCTGCCTGAAGAGTCTGGTTGGCAGCGAAAACAGGACTGCAGGTGAACATAGAGAAGACGGAGGTGATGAAGATAGCCAACGAACCGAAACAACAACCAGCACCAATCACCATCAGCGGGAGGGATTTAACAGAGGTTACCTGCTTCATTTATCCAGCTAGGAAGCATCGTTTCAACCAGAGGCACATGGCACGGATGGAGATGTCAGTGGCAGCCAGAGTCGGAAAGGCAAGATATACCATCACTCCGAAATCAGTATGGAAGTCTTCTGCACTCCACCTCAGCATAAACAACAAGATTCGGATTTTCTATACAAATGTGAAGTCAGTCAGTTCCTTTATACGTGTCAGAAACTTGGCCGGCATGTCACGAAAAGGATTTCTAACAAGTTACAGAAATCAACAGCTGCCTTCGTTGGCTCCATACAGAAAACCAAATGGCCGGCCAGAAAGAATTAGTAACGAAAAACTGTGGGAACAAACCATTCAAGAGCCGATCGCTCAACAGATATGTAGGAGAAAATGGAGATGGACCGAGCATACCCTGAGGAGGCCGTCGAATAACATCGCGCACAATGCAGGCCATCGCTCGAGTGAAATTCCAATAGGAAGTCACGAGTGGGTCGTGATAGGGTGACATGAAGGAGATCGTGAGAGGAAGAGATGAGAGAGTATGGTCAATCGTGGACCCAGCTAAAGAGGATGGCAGAAAATAGAAGGAAGTGGAGATGTCATTGTTTTTGGTTAACCCCTATTTTTAGTGCTTTATTTTGCTGTTATATGACAGTGTTGTTTTACGATTCCGACTGTTTGTCTGCTACCTTTACGTCTTTGACAAATTTGCGTAGGCATATACTTCATTTAATTAATTTTCTAATTTGTGAAATAACACCATAATTCAGTTAAGCTATTATTAGCCCTAGTTTATCCCTCCAGGTGACTAATCAGAAAATCATAGTGATGAAAACGCCACAACTTGAGGTTGTTGCAGTTTTTGCAGAACTGCCTAAAACTAACTGGAGTCTATCTACCACTATTTTCCATTTAACAATGTTTAATAACACTAGGATATATCAGGTGATTTCAGCCTCATTGTGATGACAGCTAAAGGAAAAAGGCGGTGGCTGAAACTGACAGCCAACTAACACCAGAATATCTGAACTTCAAGGATTATTTATGTTGAATTTCGAGCAGACTTGAAGATCTGCAGGCGAAAACCAACAAGTTCCCCGAAGATGCAGCCAACACAGGACTTCAAGTGAACACAAACAAGACAGAAGTGATGAAAATATCCGACGAACTACAAACAACTATCACAATAATTGGGAAAAATGTGAAGGACGTCATTTCAATCACTTAACAGCATCGAGCGTTTCACCTACGGACGGCACTGATGAGAATGTCAAATGCAGGATTGCAAATGCAAGACAGACGTTCTTACTCCAATATCAGCAGCACTGAGTACAAGATCAGAAATTTCGACAATAATGTTCAGTGCTTCTATACGGTTCAGACACTTGGCAAATGCCTGACCAAAAGGATCTGCGACAGCCTGCTGCAGACTTTCAACAACAGTTGCCTTCGCTGCCTAGATACTGAAGATGAGATAACCGATCAGAAAGGATGAGCAACCAGGAACTATGAGAGCGAACCGACAAATACAAAGAAGGTGGATTGGACGTATGCCGAGCAGAACATTGAGAGAAATCACAGGCCAGGCCCTCGAGTGGTACCCGAATAGGAAGTGAGGAGTTGGGTCTCCGCAGGACATTAGAGCTTATGGAAAATTGTGTAGCTAGCTGAAGAGGACTGCAGAAAACAGGATGAAATGGAGGTGTGCTGCTTAAGCCCTATGTCCCACTAGGAACCCAGGGAACGAATAACAATAACACGTTTGTCCTAAAGCTTCACTCATTTGGTAATTCCATACATCAGTGTTGACACCAACTACAATAATCATCGTCACCAAAAGAATTATACTAAAGACAGTGTGGATGTATAATTGTATTTTCCATTCCAAAAAATATACATAAGAAATTATTGATAACCAAAATAGCGAAATGTTCAAAATCATTTTTGAAAATAAAAAATTCATCCAACCATCAAACGTTTCCGACCACGTTGTCGAACCTCTTCAAGCCTACTTAGAACTTCTTTCACTTCAGCTTTCTTTGCATCCAAATTATCACCCGATTTTTAATTAACCGACGATTTACACTTGACTCGTTCTTGTTGTTGTTGTGGTTCTGATTCTTCATTCAACTGTTGTACAGCATAATTCTCACGATATGCATTCATAATTAAATTCATCACGCCATCTGGTGTATTTAGATCAGGTTGATCAGGAAAAGCTTTCAGTAAGGCTTTATGATCTAAGCCACAAGTTAATGCTCGTTCAAATACATACAAATCCACAGCTTTATCCTCAGCTAAACGTTGTGATGTCAGGCCCGATGAAGCGCTTGAAAGTCCAAAGTCGATTGGAACAACTCGAAAACTGATTTGTTTACCATTAACATCCTTCTGCGATAAAGTAAAACAAAATTAACGAAGAAAATTAGGACGCCAGATAGATTTTTAATTATTATCATTACAGAACCATCTATAGATAGTACTCACTAATATATCGTGTTTTTTAAAGAGGGAAAACGCGATTTCTATGAGAAGCGATTTAATATTTAAGTCTTGAATACTTCTGTGAAATCACTTGGCTGTCGCGAATGTATGATCAGGAATATACCTATGTATTTTAGGATGTATCGTATCTCTCAGACTGTTCAAATATTTATTTTAGAAGGCTAAGTGATTTAGAAGTCTGTATATCCTTAGAAATACGAAATTATCAAACGCAAAACGGTGTGATCAACAAAACGTATCTCTAATTGATGTCACTGTGCTATAACAGACAGTGAAAGATGGTCTTGACTTATAGTACTGATATCATGAGAAGTTTGTATAATGGATGTATATCCTCTTGATATCGTGGAATATACTCTGCATGACATCATTGGAGAGGGCAGGACCAGCTCAGCCAAGGATATCCTATCGGCATTCAGGGATGAAATCATTGAAATATGCCTCTACTAAACCCCTAGTTTCTGCCCTCTGGTAATTTATTACCGAAATATCCATTTACTCCGATCTAAGGAGACTAAGGTAAACTGTTTGTTGAATAATTTTACATAATTTATTTATGAAACCATATAACTGTAAATAACATTCGGAATTCATTCTTTCTTTTAGAGCATTTATTAACTATTTGCGGAAAATTAATATTTGCCTGTACGGTAACTAGGTTTTGTTAGTAATAATGTTTTTGTAAGAAAAAACCTAACTTACTGTGATTAAATCCTATGATCAGATTTATTTTCCACTACTCTATGACTAGTGACCACATCGGTAGCTTTTTCTGGTTTACATGATATTACATTTGTATTAGTTGATAGGGCGTTATTAATTGCCCGTAATGGTCCACGAGTTGACCGTTTAATATTCCTTTGCATTATTCCAATTTTTGTTGTTGTTGTAAAATATACAGCCTAGTGGCAGTTTAATAATCCTTAATTTCAGCTAGTGGATATCAACATTTTTTTCAGTTTTCGCTTTATAAGGGGAATGAATATTCATCCACCAGATGGATAAGTCAGGATTAGCCAATAAGAATTCAGTTACTAGACACAAGTTCTATTTGCTTCATTTTTATTGGCTGGCACGCGGTAATTTCACTATTGGAATAGTTTGGGATTTCCACTTTTGTTGCTACCTTATTCAAGTTGAATCTGATTACTGATTAAATTATGCATCTTCCACAAGTGAAGTACTAGTGTATTCATACAATTAATATCAAACTGAAAGATCTTTGTATGTTTATTTTAGGGTCAAAAAACAACCAAAAAAAGATTTGCATTTTCCTCTATGGAAGAAATAATGTACATTTATGCAGACTGTATACACATGAAGAAAGAATAGGGTGGTGGTGGTGATCGGATGGAATAGATTTATGGTTAGTTTTGAAGTTCATTCATATTTTAGACAAGTATTGGATCAATCACTAATGTACATTGTAAATAATTGAATTTACTTTGTTAAATATATATATACACACACATAAGATAAACAATTCCAGATCAGACTTTTGGTAGAAAGGGTTAAGAAAGTTACTAGTAGACAGCGTACTTATTATTATTTATATTCCTACAATCCATTGTCTGTTAGATAGAAGCTGTGTTAATGAGAAAAACGTCTGACCGAGATACCAAAAAAGAATCGAGATCATCCCCTTCCACATTATAAACAGACGTAGATATTATCAGAATAGCGAACGCCACATATAATAAAGTTAACTATTGCATAGATGCTTATAATTCCTAGGTACCAAATTATTCCAGTAAAGATGTTTTGCTATTTGCATACCTCAAATATTAACCGTCATCTATTTCCAAGCTAGTTTTACTGTAAAGTTGAAGGTATCACAATAAATTCTTCAAGATACTAGTGAATTCATTGGAATTAGCAGACTGTCTTTCAAGCGTATAAACACACCTAGGAACACACTTATGTAGTTTTCACTGTCTCATTGTACTGGTACTGGGAAGTAAGACGATGTCTTGTCATTTCAACTGTATTTCCATCTTCTCTAATAACTACAATAAAACCAACAACAAACCACAGAATACTTATGAACTATTTACTTCACAACTCTAGAAAATATGAATGCGTTGACGAGTGTCTGCGCTTCTAGTAGCATTTATGGTTGCAGACATACGAGGGACTAGTATTTCTTATTATTCTGGACAGCCTCATCCACGAGCATATGTGGGCTAACTAACTTTATCTTCAGGCGACCACTGCCGACACTAATTGTGTGATGAAAAATTGCATCTCGCAAATACTTTCACAAAGAATTTAACCAATCATAACAAGGATACCTTTGTCAGAGTGATCTGAAATGACTGTTAAATCTTTACATGTTTAGTTCGCTAATAACTATTTCTAAAATTGTCGACTGACTTTAAAGAAAACAAAAATATTCAGTTTCCTCTTCAAGTGGCTGACACTTCAAGTGTACCATTATGTGAATGTATAATAGCTACGCATCTCCCACCCAAAAAAAAAGAATCTGAGATCAGAACACTCATTTGTAGACAGCACTATAGGTGAAAAGTGCATAATTTTTAACACAGAATGTTAAAGCATTCAACCGTGAAATAGAGCAAATTCTATATATGAAAATAATATGAAAGATATGGCGAATAACCAGTAATACTTGTGAAAAAATACTACTGATAGCGAACAACTTGTTCACAACAAAATAAGTTTTCTTTCGTAAATTTAGTTATTGAGACATAAAACATTAGATCTAAGCTAATGTATTTTTAACAAGACTTTTCTCAGAAATACAAGTTAACCTGTAGAAGTACCAGTGATTAAAGTGTATTCTAGTAGGATGCAAGTTTTCTAAAGTGTTTTGCAGAGTTTTTCTCTAGTGCTTTATACATGAAGATAACACTTGAATTAATTATACTTAAACAAGAAAACGGTAGTACTGAACCATTCTTACTAGTCAAGTGGAAAAGAAATTATATATATATCGTGTAGTTGTGTTTCAATCTTCTATACTGAATCTGTAGAAGATCAGGAATTTCCATAAATTCATTTATTTATTTTTATTTTATTTCATTGTCGTTTGATTTCACACTGTAATTTGGTACAAGTATGAAATTTTCAGCATGTGATATCGGTAGCCCGAATTTCTCAGGCCGACATAGATATCAGGTGTGTGTCGGTGGAGGATCGAACCTCGGACCATGTACGCGGTCGGTGAGAGTCCTAACCGCTGTGCCACCGACGCACACTAGACTGAAATGACATGAATCATTAGTTTTCATCTTCTGGTTTGCAAGGATCTGACTGATTTCAAGTACGATTATGGATTGGCTTCAGTTAGAGAACCACTGGGAACCAGATAATAATGGGTAACTGTTTCGTCCTTCTTCGTGATTCTTCATCAGTACACATTTGTGACCTCATGAGGAATCGGATGAAGAGCCTTCGTGTTACAAGGCTAGCTCGAAGACCATCTAGTCCCTGGGATCCAACTCATGAATTCTAAATTCTACCAATTCTTAATTTCAGCGCGACCACCAAATTAAGAATTAAACATAATCTTTATCTGATGATGTAGATTCTTCTAATTCCAGACTTAAACATGATAAAAAAAATGATAATTTCCCATAACATAAATATATCAGTCTGCGTATTCTAACTGAAGATAACTTTTGTACCGTTTTCCGTCATAGGTAATTACCACACTAAATTAGGGAGAAAAATATTGATATAGTGAAACAATTAAGTCGAAGTCCACTAATTATAGATTACTGTGCTTCCTTATTCCCACTTATGCTTCTTGATTGGCCATATCAATTAAGATAAAATGATAATTATACACTTGAGCGAAGGAAGAACAAGTGAAGACTAATTCATTCTTATATATATCTCCCATGTTTTAGAAATTATTACGTAATAAAGTTTTGATTTACAAATAAATTCGAACGGTGTTTTCTTACTTCAACACCTTGCAAAAAGGGAAAAAATCAGACGATTGAAGGAGAAAGTTCGTTCTTAAGATATTTCTTTTCATGAGCTAAAAGTAACACTAAGAAATATTGTCAAACAATAAATGGGTGATTTTCCTGGTTTAAAACTCAAGAATGAGCGTTACCGATCTGCCTCTCCATCCAATTATCGTCAATTTAGTTAACTAAAGAAATACATTGATACATTTGAGGACATATTTCTGTCAAAACGAAGAGTAGGGTCTTCAAGTTTGATAAGATTTATTCCCTCAAGAAGCAGGATGACCATAACCGATAAGATGAAACGAAGATTTTCCAGAAATATGTAAATTGTCCATTCCAAGCTACGGTAAAAGTTAAGTCACTTTCTAGATTAGATTCTGCAAGGTGAAGTGTGATAGCCGTCTTATTGCAATAATCTACACCAGTCTTGAAAATCGTATTGTCTTTCTTTATTCGTGTAGACTATTCTGATGATAATTAATTGTAGCCAACATAAGACAAGGCATAGACAACCCAACTCTTCAACAAAATGTCTGAATTGAATTCTAACTAGCTCAGTAGTGATTTTAACCATTTGGTTTTAGTTATTATTTTCAGTTGAATTCATCAAGCTTCTATGAGTTTATTAAGGAATTTACCTTCAGGGATATCAGATAATATACAGATACATAACATACTAGTGAATTTAACACTGAAGATATTGTCCAGAAGAACAATGAAAACTTCATGATTGACCCAGCTAGCTCAAAGAACACAACACCACCAACACTAACCCATTTCAATATTCAGTACAAAATATTTCCGGTAATTAAATCCAAACATCAGAATTATTTGAGTAAACTAACACAAAGATAACTTAAAAGGGTTATCATGACTCTTCCTAACAAACCCCAATAAACAATAGATGAGAAAGAGACACAATGTTACTCATCATAATTAGCAGACCAAAATGCTAATGATATAATATCACAAAGGCTGAAAGTAAATCCATTTCCTCTTCATCTGGCATGCAGACGCATATTGAATTGCTTACCTGAATAAAATAACAATACTATTCATTCCCCGAAAGTGGAACTACAGCATTCGACTGATACCTGTTTGTTTTTGTTAATTTAAACAAAATTTTTTCTGAATTTAATTGGATTTCTACCTTCAGGGAAAATAGTGAATAAGTCAGAGGTAAAAATAACTTCGTTTATATTTATTTATTTATCCGTATAAGGCTTAGAAGTTTCATTTTGAATCATTGAACATATGTTACTTAGTAACTGATATTTTGATTCTAATTAACAAAATAAAATTTTAAAAAATATAGTGAATTAGTAAATAACTCTTTTGTTTTCAAAATTAATTCTTATGACAATATGGACTAGAGAGATTATTACTTAAAATTAAAAGGAAATGGAAATCGTGATGAATTTACTCTGAGGTTGAATGAACAACTGGCATGGTTATTCATATTTTAGGGAAAGTACCTGGTACGTGTTACCTCGTCGTTTGTGAGAAGTACTTCTCTCTCACTAATGATTATAATGTGATACATTTCCGCGATTTAATGCTACTGTAGTTGCTCTTTGTATTGGAAGGTTTTGAGGTAGAATTATAGCTTCTGATCTGTGAATAGAATGGCGAAATACTTTCCATATGGCTTGTATCCATTAGTATATGAAAATTCAAGACTAAAAACCGTAAGTGATTAATAAACTGAGAGGGTTTTATGTAAGTAAATAAGCAAAAGTAGCGTACTAATCGAAAAGCGCGTCTCGAATTTTCAACTCCAATGTGAAGTCAGTGCTACTTTATAGATCAGAGACTTGGCTCGTCATAAAGAGCACTTCAAACAAACTACAGACCTTCATCAACAGCTGTCTTCGCTTAATACTCAAGATCATATGGCCGGTCAGAAAAAATCAGCAACAGGGATC